GATATTGCCTTGCCTAATCTGTAACAAGAAATTCAGCAGTAAAGGCCAAGTCTAGCAACACATTTCAAGAGCCAGACCCTAACCTTCTCTTTCTAAGTCATCAGCATGAAGGGCACAATATTATCCTTCACTATTACTGTCTCAGAAATGAAGCACAGAGAAGAAGAAAGAAGAAGCAAATAGGATGGGACAGGCATGAGACAGGTGGGAAAAAAGTATTGGTATTGAATACCAAATCACTACACACAGAAAAACACATATAACTGCATAATCCAGGTGTGCTTGTTCACTGTATTCAAGAAGCATTACCACACCCCCAAATGACTCCATTGTTTAAAATGAAAATCAAAGTATATATCGCTGAATGAGAGATAACCATACTGTATCTACCCAACAAACACTGGAATGAGACATACCTATCAATACAAAACAGTTGTCTGGAATAATGTGTAGTCTACCTGCTAATCTATATTGGCTCTGTACCATCCCTTTGATATTTTTCTGAACTTCTCACTCCCCCACTGACGTCCAAATCATTTCCATTACAAAGTGTGACGTGGAGGAGAGTTAGTCAACTTAATAACTTAGGAATAGAAAATTATCCCAGGTGCTACCAATTAATAATCTGCTTGCCCTCCCTCTCCTGTCCCCAGGGACTTGTCAAAAATCAGGAAAGAGACATTGGAGAGCTCTGCTCAGCTGCAAACAGAATTAAGCCTGCAAAGCTTGCAGTCTCATTTTCTCCATCTTCTTTTGAAATTGAGAACACACACAAGATTTGCTTTGAAGTCAGGGATGCCTGAATATGATCTTATTGATTTCCATAGCATGTTTTTGCTCTGCAATGCGGATGTGCATTTTTCAAACATATTAAGCAAGTCTTTCATCTGATTTGTTCCACCAGAACACCCGGTGGAGGCTGAAAACCATTTCTATATATGGATTTGCTGTGCCGAGTGGAAGCCTGCTCTTGCTTGAGAGAGATTGGAAACATCCCATCTGAAAGCTCTTTGCAGCCTTCCTCAGCCTAAACATTTTACTCAGGGGGTTAAAGGTCACCAACTGTCAAAACAAAATCCAAACTCCATAGCGGGGAAGCTAAGCAGAGTGGAAACTCACTTGCTGAGCTAAACACTCTTTGGAGCAAGCAGTAAAACCACCCTTAAAATGTTACAGGTATATTACAGTGATTTCTACTGATTTTTACAAATTGACTGCTAACTTTTAGAAACTAACAGCTTAAACATCTACGTAGAGACTGAACTGAACTGCTCTAGAAAGTGGGAAGCCAAGCCAAACTTTGCACCGTCGTCGCGACCAGGCTGTGAACTCCAGGAACCAGATGGCTGCTTGAGCCTTAGAACTTCAAAAATCTCCCCCTGAAGTTTCCAGTTTCAAATGAAATTGTTTGTTTTTCAGGAGTGAAGAGAACAGGACATTTTTACTTTTGGACGGCTAGCTCCACCACCCTCAGGACCTTGTAAGCCTGTTTGCCCTTGGTTCTCATACTAGGATCAGTACCCTTAGCACTCATGTCTCGACAGTGTCCTCTTTCAGCCGACTTGTCCCTTGACCTGATTTTCAGCCTTGCCTCCACACAATTTCCTGTGGTTCTAAAAGTTTAACTTTACAGAGACCAAATCTATAGGTTAATGTTTTCAAACCTTTGTAAAAAAAATTCTTTTATATTTAATACAACAAAACTCTTCCAACTTTTAAATCAGATTTAGCTTTTTTTTTTCAGGATAAAAATAGTGTAAGGTTCTGTTTTATGAAATGATTTTATGTGTTAGCTCTTTTTTTTTATTAAATTATAAAAGTTTCCATTTCAGTCCCTCCTCCCAACACCCTCCCTCTCCCCCCACTCCCTCTCCTCCTCCCTCTCCATCCCCTAGAGCAGTCAGGGTTTCCTGCCCTGTGGGAAGTTCAAGTTCCTCCCCGCTCCCTCCAGGTCCAGGGAAGGTGAGTGTCCAAACAGACTGGAGCATCCCACCCCCTCTCTATGCCTTAGAAGAAAAAAAGTTCAGAGAAACATATAGAAACCTAAAGGGACACCAGAGAAGACCTGAGAGCAGTGTTAGCCACAATGTGTTCAGTGATGAAGGTCTGGGCATTAGCAGCCAGTGTGCTGTGTGTTTTTGTGCATAAGTTGTTCACAGTGAGACAATGAACCCATAAAACTAGGAGAGAGTACAAAAAGAGAGTGCGGGGCCTTTGATTTTAAGAAAAGGAGAGCACCTGAAAAGGGAAGCTAACCTAGGCACACACAGTGTTTGATAACTGTGCTATTCTATGTTTTCACATTCATCTCCCCTTCTGTTTGGCCTTCAGTTCAAATGCCAATGATTCTACCTTCCACGCAGATTCATTGCTTCCTACTTGGAGCACACTGTGCCACCGTGTATCACGAGTTTATTGAAAGGATCAAATCAAAAAAAAATATGGATGCAAAAATACTTTGGAAAATGTGAAGAAAATATGAAAATCAATTATGAAATAATTATGAAATTATTATGAAAATCAATTAATGTATCCAAATATACAGAAGAGAGAATATGGGATAAAATAAGGCATATGAAGAATGGTAAATGTTTAAAATAATTGACCTATAGAAAAAGCAGGCCAGGCATTTAAGAAATGCCTTCACCGGAGTAAGCATTATTAACGTTGGAGAACACAAAAAGTATAAAACCAGGGTGAGCCTAAACTTCAAGGTATACAAAAAAAAAAAATCCAGCACTTTGGTTTGTTGAGCAATGAAGTAGATTAATCTTTAGAAGAGACTGTGGTTTGACCATTTTAGGAATTTGGAAAATGGAGAATCATTATTGTCTGATGTGGTTCACACTTTGAAACTAAGCAAAAGGAGTAAGATTAGGTCAGTCCTGAGGTATTTGGGAGTTCTGAAATGGTTCAAGTATTTTAAAAGGAACCTATGGAAAGTTTTTGTAGCTTTAATTTAAAGCTACTCGTTTAAAAATAATGTGTGGTTGTGGTGGAAACAACATAAGGCCAAGCCTAAAGAGGCTGAGCCAGTGAGCTTAAACCAATATCCTGCCCTAAACCAGTAAATAAGGGGAATATCTCTGAGCACCTCCAGTGGTTGTGGAGAAACTAAGAGGTGGACTAGTCTGGAACCAGAATAAGTACCAGTGGTGTTTGCGGAGGTCCACCACTTTGAAGTAACTTCAAAGGAAGTTGTGGATGAGGGTAGGGACCAGATGTGACTCCATTTTAGGCCCATAGATGTTTGAGACATTCCAAATTTCCCAGCAACTGCAGCTGTAATCAAGAAACCAGAGTTCGAACCGGATTTGGCTCTCTGTAAGTCCTAAGGATTTGTGAAAAATTCCGTAGCTCAGAGGACAAGCTGCAGCATGGGTGGGAGGCCCTAGCTAACCCAAGATGATAATCAACCCTCAGAGGAGGACTCAGTAGAGCCTCTGGCCCAAAACACTGTTCTCATGGAAGAAAACGAATCTCTGTCCTTCTAGGATGTATTTCTGAAGTACAGATTGCAAATGCCACCACCTGAATGTAAAAATTAACAAAAGAAAAACTTGACTATACCATAAGCTAACGAAACAACAAATCTTGACTAATACCTAAGTTAACAAATAAAAATTTCAGTCCTAGGGAGTTGGTGGCTTCTCTCTGAGCTGCTGGCCAGTGAATTCCTATGAAACCCAAATCATTACACACTATTGCCATTGCCATTGCCATTGCTTATTCTGAAAAGTTTGATGGTAATATCTTAGCTCTGAAGATATCATATACTTGAGATATAAGACATGGAAAAATCAGGTTGGTATGGACCTGAAAGCTTGATACATCTGGGATAGTTTTCACAGAGCTGAAAGTATTATGTAACCTAGTAGAGAAGACAATGTGCACTGAAACTAAATCAAAGAAAATGGCACTTGCTAGTTCACAGTTCCTGCTAAACTGGGAAAATCATACACATTTAAACCATGACTGATGCCCCAGCTCATGGTCATAAGGACCCACTCACAACCATATTGGTATCATATTAGATAATATTTTCAAGGAAGAAAATCAAATATTTACTCATATGCCAGTTAATAATTGGCCACAAACAAAATTTGTGGTTAATTTGAATTAGGTTTTAAGTGTTCTGCATGAACAGAAGTGTGAATTCATAAAATACATTATATGCATATACAAAAAGATGCACACATACATAAAGAATCTATTATACCCTTTGTTTGTTATAATAAAGTCAGATTGAGAAATAATTTATTAAATTTGCTTATTCTTTCTAATAGCCATCTCTCTGCTTCATTGAACTAATTGTAGGAAAAATTTTATCTTGGATGGTGTATACCCATGCTCCACTAGACTAAGACTCTATAAAATCTGGCTTATCTAATTGTGATTCGTCCAACAGCAAATTGTAAAGCATACATGTTTTACTCTCATTCAGGAAGAAAAACTCTCATCTATCAACTTTTGTTAAGATTAAATTCTTTCCTGTTAAAGTCTTGGCTTCTTATTAGCTTTAGAATTCATTGGCTACACTATCCTTTTTCTCTTAGGCACTTAGTATTGTTTCCTAATTTTAGGATTAAAAATGTTTCAATATTGAGAACTTCATAACAGCATGAAAAGTTAAGGTGACCTGACTGCAACAACATCTGTGGATATATTTTCTTGCTTCTTTCTCAAAGATAACTTTGAAATCAAATATTGAACTTAAGAGCATTTAAAACAAATAAGAGAGTTGGTATTTCAGATAGAAGTGGACCTTTGATTATCTTCTTATATTCCTTCTATAACAAGTAAAATGAGCATCCAGCTTTGCAAACACTAATAGGGTCTATGTTTATTTAACTGCAGCTATCTTTATCTTTTTAAAAGTGTTAGTGATTTATATATAAACATGAGAATATTTATATTTTTCAATGTAGAATATCAAAATATGTGTTTTGTTAGTTTTGAAAAGGAAGATTTATTATCTTTATACTCTCATTTTGAAATAGAATCTTCTACTATGAATTCTGGAGAAAGAAAATGCTACACAGAGAGAGGAAGAAGAAGGACAACAAGAAGGGTCAGAGAATGAAAGGATCAGGTAAGAAGAAGACATGAGAAAGAAGAAGGAGAAAGTAAGAGGAAAGGGATGGAAGGGAGAGATTGAAAAAGTAAAGGCAGCAGAAAGAGGCAGAATAAAAAAAGAAAATAGCTATGCAACTTGAAATTTATGAACCTGACTTGAACAATAAAGAAAACGACACACAGAAACTTACAGAGGATGCCCTATAAGCATAAGGAAGAGACTTAAGCCTTTATTTCATGGCTCTGGCCTGTGTGAAAGGGTGATGATGCCATTCAGAGTAACTAAATCTCTGCTGGAAATCTCAGCGTCATTAGACATGGAAACATAAAAGACAAAGTCAAGAAAGAAAATAGATTGAGAAGAGATATCTTGAATTATGTACATATTCTTGACTGAGCTATGTGTTTCTGAGAGATGTGAAGCAGCAGGACTAGGCAGCATAAACAAACATTTGATTTAAAGGGTTGATGAGCAATGGGATTTAAATATTAGAATCTTATCTTCTTTAATCAGCAATTAGAGGCATTCTTCATGTACATAACAAAACCCAAAATCAGCATATCATTCATAATGTGAAGAGAGCAATCCAATTACCTGGCTGATGGAAAAATGAAGACTACAGACATTAATGGAATAAAAACCTCAATCAGCATAAGTTGGTCTTGAGATGATACAGTTGCCATCATGAACACACAAGACTTACGATCAATTGACATGAAGAGAAAATGCTCATGGAAACATAAAAATACAGGAATCTCAGCAGAAAAAAATAGGTAAAACTAAAATCGAAATTTCTGGAAAAGTATAGTATCTATTTTTTATTAATTATATTTGGTTAGCAAAAAAAGGAAATGTGAAATTAAAAGTCAGTAACTTTGAAGATAGAATAATAAAGTATTGTTGAAGAATAAAGAAAGACCTTGTAGAAACTGAAAAGGTCCAGAAACTAAGTGTCAATAAAGTTCAATTTCAGATGAACAGAAAGTGTGACAAAAAGCTTCAAAAAATAATAAAAAAGTAAGAAAGTTGGTGAATATAATATATCTATAGATGTAATTCTGTTAAACAAAACCAAGTGAATTCAAAGATAATGTGCAAGAAAGAGTTTGGTACTAACAAGAAATTTGAAAACATCAAGAAGAAGTTAATACATTTCACTCAGACCAGTCTAACAACTGACGATTAATCTAAACCTACAGAGAAAAGAGGACACATGGCACATAGAATACCCATACATATTCAAAACACTGAAAATTAAAATATGATACTTTTAATACCAGCAAAACTATTTTTCAAAAATAAAAGCAAAATTGGTTATGGCAGTATACCCTGTAATTCTAGCATTTAGAAGACTGTAAAAGAAAGACCATGAGTTCAAAACAAACCTATATTCAAGTAGAGAAAGTCTATCTCAAATAAAAAGAGTAAAAGAGAAAAAAAATAAGGAAGGAAAGGAGAAAGCCAGGACCAAAAGAAGGAAGGAAGGTAATAGGAGAGAAAAGAGAGAAGTAAAGGACAGAAGGATGGAAGAATGGAAGGGAGGAAAAAATATGTAAATACAAAATGAAAATCTATACCAAAATAAGAAATTTTCATAGATCTTATCAAATGAATAATTATGAAAAAACTAACAAGGATCATCCTAAAAGAAATTCTTTATAAAAATGACATCAGTAATAAACGTGGATCCCTAAAAATGAGGGAATATATCAGAAATGCCAAATACTATTCTCCTTTGCACATTCTAAAACTAAAAGAGACATAGCTTTTAAAGCTAAAGCAATATTCTTTTGTGATTTGTAAAATTTCTGTCCTCATAATGTATGGCAGCAAAACACAAAAGGCAAGGGATGTCAATAGATGATTATGGTTCAAACATTCAGTATTTTAGATACAACATAACATTAATGCTAACTAGGATGAGAGGAGTTAGGAGTATTTGTTTCAAACTGTACAGCAACTACTAAAATCACAAGGGCTCAATCTAATGACACAAGCATTCCAAAACGGTGGCCATTTCTTCAATTAAACCACAGAAAAGAGATGCATTTAGTTCCCAAGGACTAAGCATTCATTGAACACCATTAACAAAATGTAACCTACAGTTGTATCAATATAAGCAGCACGCATTATCAGTGTACGACAGAAACTGTAATAATTTCAGGGAGATTGTGACACACAGATTCAGTCACAACAGTTATCAGACCTTTCCTTCCAATTCTGTTCATAAGAAATTATCATGTCATTCTGCTACATAAGAACACAGGCAAAAGTATTTCTCAAAGTTTTGGGTTTTTTTTTTTGCATTTGTAAGTTAGAAAATGCTGTCTGAAAGACTGAATAAGTAGAGTGGGGAAGCCTAACTTGGAAGCAACTGACTAGACCAGCAGGAACACATCTATACTCAAAGTAATGGCAGATGAGGATATACAAGATTCGGTAGAGAGTGACATAAAATTTCTAATAATTATATTAGAACCATAAATGGTAAAAAAGAAAGTAAAGGAAGGATGATTAAAAGAAGATATATGAAAGTTGATAGAAAGATAGATAATAGATAAGGAGATGAAAGATATAAACATATGATAGCTACGTGGTATGCAATAAATGACTGGTTAGGTAGATTATAGATGAATAGATGGATAGAATAAGACAAGATTGACTAACTGATAATCTGATAGATAGTTACAGATAGATGAATGACAGAAGTGAGTATATAGTAAAATATTTTAATCTTTTAATATATTTAAATTTTATTTTTATGTATTTCTTTTATTAAATAAAATGTTACATATATTCATAAAATGAATATATAAAATATATTTATTTAAATTCAATAATAAAACATAAAATAAATAAATATGTGTAAATAGATGGATAAACAGATGATAAATAGAGGAATACTTGACCTCATCTAAAATGTGAGAGAAGGCATGGGCAGAAAATATGATCTTAGTAAATATACTTTTTGAAATAATAAGTCTGACTAACACTAATCCTGGGACTCTTTACTACCTAAGGTACAATCAAAAGAAACAACGAAGAGAAAATAATAAGTTGTATTTGTATGTTCTAAACAATTTCCCCATATGCGTATATTTGTGTATATATACATATACACACACAACTCCACAACAGCGAATTTGAATCTGTTTGGAAAAATTAACTTTTTATTTATTTACAGTCTTGACTTTGACTCATAAATCCTTTCTATAAAGATAAGGCTTAAGCTATTACCTTACAATTTTGGACTGCAATGAAAATAAAACAATCTTAATGTCATTCTTAAAAATTGTGTTTAGATGTAAATATTATAAACACAAATACATAGGGTAAAAACTTCCATAAAACTACAGAACAACACTTTTCGCTACATGTTTAAGGGGATCAAATTTCTAAGCTTGAAATGGCACTGATTTACTACAAGGCTTGATTTATTTTTCACAAGGTCAAAGCTGTGACATTTCACAAAGCCTTTGGTCTTAACCTTGGAAATCCAGATGCTCAGGATAAAGGCCGAGAAAATGAGCAGGAAATCTCTAAAGGTGTTTTTCTATTATTGAATGCAAATATATTCATTAAGGAAGTGACTAAACAAAAAGGTATACTCTACTTTTAATGAATTTTTTAAAACACAAATAATTAGTGAGTGTTCACTTGAATTTAACCTTTGAAGCAAGAATGATTGAGTGGAAATGGGACGGATAGAAAGATCCTATCTGTGCCTTTCTTTTTTTTTAAAATTCTGTTTTTCAAAACAATATCTCTGACATGCATATTTTAGGTTCATGAAAAGCTGCTTTATTTCCACTTTTGGGTTCTCAACCTTCCTTCAGAAAACTTAAGGATCCACCAGAATCATTTTCATATTTAGTTGCATTGCCTGAAACAGCCCATGAAGAACTCTTTTAAAAACGCAGCTGAAAATGTCAAACCACTGGTGAATAATTTAATGAGTCTTAAACAAAGTGAATGTTTGCAATACAAATTGAGACTATTACACCTATCTACATGATTCTGCACATGCACACAGTCATATATATGTACATATTGCCCTGCCACAATATGTATATAGGGAGCAAACTCCTTCTATCATGTTTACAGTTAAAGCTCTCAAGCAACATTGAAAACAATATGGCAGTGTTCATATTTCAAAGAATTCTGGTCTGCCTCTGGAATAATAGGTTTGAACTACTGGAATTTAGAAAACAAAAAGCACTTGAGAATTCACTTAGATATGTTTGGGCCTTCGAAGCTTAACAAGCAATTTGTGACTATTTTTAACTCTCTTGTTTGTTGATCTGAAAAACAGTTCTTAATGTTTTGAACAAAAATTAGGAGTTGAGATGACAGGATTCTTAAAGGTCTTCAAAAAGGATCAAATGTTACAGGGTCAGGTGACACCATGGCCAGGTGACACCACTATCAGGTGTGTCCAGTGGGAAGTCTCAGACACTAGAGAACCTGCCCTTAAAGTGGATAGAATGATCTACCCTTTCCTCTTTTCTATTTTTTTCCTTCTAGCCACCAACTGAGAGGTCTGTTCTGCCATGCAAGCAATCCAACTGAGCAATGCTGCTGCCTTCCCAACAGGCCCCAGAGATGGAAGCAGGAGGAGCAGAGATGGAAGCCCCTAGAACTCTGAGCCACTTCTCAAACTGTCCTAATGTTAAGTGGATTACCTTGATAGTTATTATAATGTTGGAAAGCTGGCAACAGAGAAAATGCATGGAAGAAAGTGTGATACGACATTTCTTGAAAATTAAAAAAACAAAAACACACAACCGTTCTCCATTAGGGACTGGGATTGAAGATCTGTTTATATTGACTCATATGAGTAATTGCACCACTAATAAATTTTATTTCATGAGAGAATAGCTTTCAAAATAATGGCCCTGTGTGCTTTAAAAAATTTTCATTTACAGTTTATTGCTCTGAAATGTAACATAAAATCTGTTGTTTATATCATCTCATTAAAATATTTATTGTTCAAAATAATGAAATTCATTTTGGCTATCTTGTATATTGTCTACTTTGATCATCCCTATTTTCTTCTCTCATTTTTTAAATGAACAAATAGGCTTTCCTTAGTATTTAGTGTGACCTTAGTTAAGAAATCTCCTAGAAGCAAACCATGAAAACACACAACGCTCTCTGCTTCCACATAACAAATCTCTGACCTTCATTATTGCAATGATGTTGTGTTTGTTCCTGGAAGTTGCTGGAAACTAGAGCTTGTATCCATTCTCTTCCTCATTGTACGAAACCAATGCCCTTTTCAGGAAGAAACACCCATTGCTTATCTATTCCATTGACTTCTAAGACATGACTACAAAATGGCTCGCAGAAGAGGGAATATCCAAATGCCAAGTCACCCATAATGGTGTTAATAACACTGCCTCTCTCAAGTAGTTGACAGGTAACCTTTTAATCTTCTTTTTAATCGGCAAAATAGCTGTGGCTTTCATCCTGCTAATGATATAGAAGTGACAAGTAGAGAAGTTAAATGAAGATTTTATGACATATGCAAGACTCATATTAGTAACATAACTTCCGGAGACCAAAATGGAAGATAAATCCAACACCAATTTAATATATATAAAAAAATCAAACATTTAAGAGCTTTGTATCACTTACCTACACAGCATATTACAAACTGTCTAACAACTGAATTGTTTTTATGGCATAATTTAGAATTGTACTCTCATTCCTTTTGACAGGGGCAATGTTTTCTTGAAGGCTCTTCTCTCGTGTTACTTGTTGCTAATCTAATTACCTTGACATTTTTGTCTTGAGGGAATAACATGGTTTCCAGTATACCTTCAAGGTCACATCTTCATCTCCACATAAAGACTTCCATATACAATGTTTTGACAGCCATGTACAATGCGGATGAGCCTGACGATACAAGGCCATAAGTATCACTGCTGTCCTTGTGTTTACAATGTCAGTTTATAAGGCACTGAGTAAATCTGTCTCGTTTTCTTGTCCACAAAATGCTGCATTTGATCATATTTATTCTGCTGTTCTTCTGACTCATTGAATATCACACTATAAAATAAATAGGAAGGCTCAGAAGTGATTCTTGGGAATGATAATCTGCATAATAAATGAAGAGATTGAAACTGTACTGTTCAGATGAAGGAGAAAAGAAAGTCAATTACGAATATTCAGTCAAGTAAAACTGAAGAGAGGAATAACAAGAGTTTCGTGGAGGCTTTGGAAGCAAAATAATGTCCACCTCTCAACAGGATGAATGTCATGCTAGAGAAAGACAAGGAATCACTGAGATACCAGCTGGGATGCTAATATTAGAAGCTATGAATTTAAGAGTGAGAATGTCATTTCTTTAGTAATTCAGTATTTTGTTTAATGATGTGGGTAGAAATATCTGTCAGAGGGATGGGAACTCAGAACACTAAGAGGGGAAGGTACAGATTTGGGGTCATATTCATAGAACGATGATTTGGAATACCAAATAGCTTGGCAAGCCCAAGAGTGAAGGCTTGACCAAAATTTAACAAGGATAACAACCCAGCTTGTATATATTATTTCTTCACTAATTTTGTATGAAATATCACAAAGTATTGTAACTTAACACTTTTATTCATTAAAAGATGTGTGACTCCAGCAATTTTAAATGTAGTTTTTCATTTGTCTATTTCTATACCTTAATAATTCTTTTTTCCCTTTTGGTTTCTATCTTTTATTAAAAGTATATTTTTCATAGATTATAATTTGTCCATATTATTTTCCTTCTCCCCATGCTTCCCAGATTCTCTCCACCTCCTGATGAGCTCAGCCTCGTGTTCTTTCTCTCTCAAGTTTAAAAAAAGCACATGATAAACCAAAAAATAAAAAGCAAAACAATCTTTAAAAATGAGAATCAATAAGGCAAAAAGCACCAAAAGAAACATCACAAAAATACATGAAGTACATTTTTGTGCTGTCTTGTAGGTGTTGTCATAGACTCTATAAGTTCGTTGTATTTCAATCCCATTGTGTCTTGATGATGCTATTTTTTGGAGTCATTCATCATATCTGGCTCTTAAAATTTTTCCATCTCCTCTTCTATATCAATCCCTCAGTCTTGAGGATAAGATTTTGATAAAAAAAAAAAAAAACAGTTAAGGACGAGTACTCCAAAGCCTTTCAGTCTCTGTATGCTGTGAATATTTTTGTTTATTATTATCTACTACAAGAAGAAGCTTCTCAGATGAGTACTGAGAGATGCTCTGGGACCTATGTAGAAGCATAGGAATAGCAATATTTCATTAGGAATCATTATATCCTTAGGTTTCTTTAGCAGAATAAACTTCAACGTTTCTTAGGTACCTCACTATAGATCAGGCTTTCTTAATAGATTCTGACTAGCATTTGGTAGCATAATGTTGCTCTGAGGTTCTTGTGTGTGTCAGATAATTAGCATCACATCTGGCATTTAATTATCAAAAGGCAGCAGTATAATAAAAAAAAATATTCTGAGGCATCCGTTTGTGTCCCATAAAGCACTCGCTAACTCCTTGTCCTTGGGAATCCAGTTTTACATCTAAAGAACCCAAGATGCCCTCCCTACCCGACTTATAGCAACCTTTTGTTTAAGAGAATGTAGAAGCAAAGAGGCCATTCTCAGACCTTCTCTCATTCCTCTCCCCTGAAGCAGCATGTAAAAGAACTCCCAGAACTTTCAATACCTTGTATTCCAGAGTTACCTCCCTGGCACTCAAAGGATATGGCCTTCTTTATCTTCCAAAGAAAGAGATATGATTAAGAGCCAAGCAAACAGTGAACTTGCTGAAGTTCATTTACATTTATTACTATTAGCTCAGACTGCCTCTTCTCCAGTTATCCTTCTGTGCAATTGTCTGCCCATCCTTCTACCTAAGCATAAACACACACATTTCTAGGTTCCTTTGCCTATCCATTTCTAAAGGGTATATAAAATTTAACATTTACATTAAGTGACATTGTATATATTTCTCTTGTTTGTACTTTAAGATTCTTGGCCATAAAGCTAGAGTGGACAAGGCAAGAATTCTTTCTTTCCCTAAAGTTTTATTGCTTAAGTGCAGACATGAATTTGAATTTTGAAGTGTTTTAAAGAGAGTGCCTCATTCTCTCTCTTAGTAACTAAAGAAACCCCCTATTTGAATTTGTTCTAATTTTGTGTACTTTTCTTCTATTTATTATATTCTTTAACTTTTGTCAAATGGAATGTTTTATATTTTCACAAGTAGAATGCTTGCTTACAATATCTTTAAAATTTTTCAGGTTATAACCATTATTTCTCATTATTTTGTAAAATCTTTTATTTCCAAAATCATTAAAACTGTATCAGTTGATATCTGTTTATAAACAACAAAATCAGCAAAATCATACTGCTCTCTACTTTTGATCAGAGATATACTTATTAGCTTTTAAAGCATAATATCCATTCATTTCATCAGAATCAGCCAGAGAGAGAGAGAGAGAGAGAGAGAGAGTCAGTTCTTTTAAGAAATGAGCTCCCTGATATGTTTTCTAATCTCAAGTGGTCAAACCTAAATATGTATATAAAAGCAATGAACTCAATATGACGTGTATGAAAGCTATAAAACAATGAAAATTTAAAAAAGAGCTCAAGAATTTTGATGAGGAAGTGGAGGAACCACAGGGGAAGACAAGGGGCACATATCACATAAACTCTTTAAATTTTATGATGAAGGTAATCAACATAAATCAAAATCTTAAAGAAGCAATAAAGATATCTTAAATAAAAATATGAATGGGACATAATACCGAAAATGTTTTCAAAGCTAATTTAAGAAAAAAGATCTAAGGATGAATGATCAGCAGGCTGGTCATTTCAAGATTTTGTCCTACTTCTCAGTATGAATTATCAGTGGAGGAAGGTGGAGGAAAGGTGTGAACCCATATAAAGCTCTATGAGTTATTATAATATTGAAAAAGTTCTCTGTACAATAGTGTCTTGATCTCATAGGTGTCCCGTTTCCCTCCCACGACAGCAGCTCCCTGCCTATGAGTTCTACAATCTCTCAATGCAGCAAAGGATTATTGCCTGTCATTCTGGTCCCCTAAGTACTCTAAATTTTTGCTGTAGCGTTCTGTTGTAACTGCTGGCATTAGTGTTAATTATAATTTTGAATTACAAAATTTATGTCTGATCTAGGCAGGGATCAGAATCTTATTTCTCATTGGATTAATAATGATAGATAAATGAATGTCTGGTTAGTTGGTTGGCTGGATAGATTGAACAGTGAATTGATTGATAAATGGAAATCAAACAACCTAAAAATAGGGTGATAAATAGATTAGATAGATCAGCGAATAGAAAGACAAATAGATTAGAGGGATAATAGATTATCTTGAAGTTGATAGACAATGAATTGAATCAACAATATATAGGTAGATAGATGAGAGATGGATAATAGACTACATTGAAATAGCATACTATTTAGGTGATACATTATGGATAGATATAGATGCATGCCTCCATAATGCATAAATAAATTATAGAGAATGATAACTGATAGATAAACAAGTTCACGATTGATTGATGGTGAAAGTGAACTCTTTTCAGATCTACTTTCCATTGGACATGGACATTTAGAAAGGAAAAAGGTATAGATATTCATGAAGATATCCTAAATAATAGGATGAAATTAATTGATCATTTTTTGACAGCCCTGAAAAAAATTCCATTTGAGAAAGTAGCCCTGACCCTTTCTCCAAGGTGTTCTTTATATCATTTGACCTATTATGCTGAAAATGATGATTAGTTTCTCAGAACATTCACATCAAGTTTTGGAAAACAGCTGTTTAGCAATTTTAAATTCATAAATCGTATACCATTTATAATTAGCAAATTTCTTTTGTTAAGCAATTAACTACTAGTGTAAATTAAAAATTACCCAGTTAATACGTTTATTAAATTTATTAGGAGAATTTTACGCAAGTATTTCTTTTCTTTCTTTCATTATATTCTATATGTTTTTTCAGGTGAAGTATATGTTATATCATAAATTGAAGAAGAAAAACAAGTTTATTGCTAACTGAAGAACAGATAAATAAAAGAAAACATGAATAATATACAAGGTCTAAGCAAATCCGATTTCTTTGAAATAAATTAGTTGTCAGACCAATTTTACCAGGAACCATCAAAATCCAAACTGAAAGCAAATGAACTTTGAAAAATGAGAGTATGTCCCTTGTTTTTTATTTCTCTCATTAAGGACCATTTTGACAAACAGAAATATTTACAAAACAGCATATACAAATATTAAGTGAAGATAGAAACATAAAAAGTGCTTGCAAAATTGGTATAGTTGCGAATTTTCACATATATTTGATGGTGAGTTCTTTAGGCTTCACAATCTCCATTCACAGGAAATGTGGGGCCATAAAGCAGTAAGCAGCAAATTCTAAACTTTACGGAGGAATGTGCTGCTTTACAGTCCTGTAAATCAATGAACATCTCTCACTTTTTCTTCT